GATAGATAGATAGATAGATAGATAGATAGATAGATAGATAGATAGATAGATAGATAGATAATCATATACGTTTATTTGAGATACAATGTGGGGCTCCCCAGTGATGTTTGTTGGTTTATAAGCCCCAGTAACTAGTTCGTTAAAAATAACATAAACCATTGAACCATAGTGAAATTGGAGTTATACACCAACTTAGCTATCGAACGGGGGCCTCACATTGTACCTTTGGGGATTATCTTCATATCTTATATTTACCACAATTAATCTGGGTAAATTATAATATTTCACGAACCTGAAATCTTGCGGCCAGCCATGGGGATGATTTCCCTTACTATGATTATAGTGAGGGAGAACAGTGAGGTCGTTTTAATTTACCCAGATATATGACATAAACCACAACTACCCTCTGGTAATTTAACATAGCTATTGAAAATGGCCCATTTATAGTGGATTTACCCATTGAAAATGGTGATTTTCCATAGTTGTTAAATTACCAGAGGGTACCACAATTGCTGGTCATGGTTCATGAGATTCCCTATGTCACCGATCAGCTTAAATCGCTTTGTCGGAACCAGGTGGATATCCCAAAAAGGGGACGATGTCAGATTTCACTGGGACTATGTTCAAATGTCCTCTTGTGTTGTTTCATAGCAACTGGATTATATACATATATGATACATATCATATATATATATATATGTTATATATGTAATTAAATAAAACTAGGATAACTACTAATGTAATATATATATATATATATATATCCGCCGACCCCTGCCTAGCCTTGGCCCAGGCGGGGCGGCGCCCGGGATCACCGCAGGTGTGCGGCTTTGGCCTGCTAGGACATCGGCCTGCATGGTCCAAGCCTTTGCCACTGCCTTCCCAAGTCACCGCGAACACGTTGCCCTGCAGCGGCAGCCCGTTGCCAGCGCTTGGCCATGTCGCCATATTGCCATACTCCACTCCATCCATTTAGAGGGTTTCACAACCTGCGCGAAGCATCCCAGGTCACCGCAAACACGTTGCCCTGCAGCGGCAGCCCTTTGCCAGCGCTTGGCCATGTCGCCATATCGCCATACTCCACTACATCCATTTAGAGGGTTTCACAACCTGCGCGAAGCACGGGCCATCAGGACACAAAACCCCCGTGTGGGCCTTTACCGCTTTGCCACTGCCTTCCCAGGTCACCGGCCATGTCGCCATAATCCATTTATATAATATAGAGGGTTTCAAAACGTGCGCGAAGCACGGTCCATCAGGACACAAAACCCCTCTGTGGGCCTTTACCGCTTTGCCACTACCTTCCCAGGTCACTGCGAACACGTTGCCCTGCAGCAGCAGTCCTTTGCCAGCGCCTGGCCAGTCGCCATACTCCATTTAGAGGGTTTCAAAACGTGCGCGAAGCACGGCCCATCACGACACAAAACCCGTCTGTGGGCCTTTACCGCTTTGCCACTGCCTTCCCAGGTCACCGCGAACACGTTGCCCTGCAGCAGCAGTCCTTTGCTAGCACCTGGCCAGTCGCCATACTCCACTCCATGTAGAGGGTTTCAAAACGTGCGCGAAGCACGGCCCATCACGACACAAAACCCGTCTGTGGGCCTTTACCGCTTTGCCGCTGCCTTCCCAAGTCACCGCGAACACGTTGCCCTGCAGAGCAGGTACTGTTTGGCCAGCGCCTGGGACAGTAGCCATACCTCCATTAGAGGGTTTTTAAAAACGTGCGCGAAGCACGGTCCCATTCACGACACAAGAAACCCATTGTGGCCTTTACCGCTTTGCCACTGACTTCCCAGGATCCAACGCGAACACGTTTGCCCTGCAGCAGCAGTCCTTTTGCCAGCGCCGGGCCAGTGCCATTACTACCATTTTAGCAGGGTTTCAAAACTGTGCGCGAAGCACGGCCCAGCACGAAACAAAACACGTTCTGCGGGCCTTTACCGCTTGCCACGGCTTCCCAGGCACCGCAAAACGTTGCCTGCTGCCAAGGCGCCTGGCCATGTCGCCATACTCCATTTAGAGGGTTTCAAAACGTGCGCGAAGCACGGCCCATCACGACACAAAACCCCTCTGTGGGCCTTTACCGCTTTGCCACTGCTTTCCCAAGTCACTGCGAACACGTTGCCCTGCAGTAGCAGTCCTTTGCCAGCGCCTGGCCAGTCGCCATACTCCATTTAGAGGGTTTCAAAACGTGCGCGAAGCACGGCCCATCACGACACAAAACCCCTCTGTGGGCCTTTACCGCTTTGCCACTGCCTTCCCAGGTCACCGCGAACACGTTGCCCTGCAGCGGCAGCCCTTTGCCAGCGCCTGGCCAGTCGCCATACTCCATTTAGAGGGTTTCAAAACGTGCGCGAAGCACGGCCCATCACGACACAAAACCCGTCTGTGGGTCTTTACCGCTTTGCCACTGCCTTCCCAGGTCACCGCAAACACGTTGCCCTGCAGCAGCAGTCCTTTGCCAGCGCCTGGCCAGTCGCCATACTCCATTTAGAGGGTTTCAAAACGTGCGCGAAGCACGGCCCATCACGACACAAAACCCCTCTGTGGGCCTTTACCGCTTTGCCACTGCTTTCCCAAGTCACTGCGAACACGTTGCCCTGCAGCAGTCCTTTGCCAGCGCCTGGCCAGTCGCCAACCCGTCTGTGGGCCTTTACCGCTTTGCCACTGCCTTCCCAGGTCACCGCGAACACGTTGCCCTGCAGCAGCAGTCCTTTGCCAGCGCCTGGCCAGTCGCCATGCTCCATTTAGAGGGTTTCAAAACGTGCGCGAAGCACGGCCCATCACGACACAAAACCCCTCTGTGGGCCTTTACCGCTTTGCCACTGCCTTCCCAGGTCACCGCGAACACGTTGCCCTGCAGCGGCAGTCCTTTGCCAGCGCCTGGCCATGTCGCCATACTCCATTTAGAGGGTTTCAAAACGTGCACGAAGCACGGCCCATCACGACACAAAACCCCTCTGTGGGCCTTTACCGCTTTGCCACTGCCTTCCCAGGTCACCGCGAACACGTTGCCCTGCAGCAGCAGTCCTTTGCCAGCGCCTGGCCAGTCGCCATACTCCATTTAGAGGGTTTCAAAACGCGCGCGAAGCACGGCCCATCACGACACAAAACCCGTCTGTGGGCCTTTACCGCTTTGCCACTGCCTTCCCAGGTCACTGCGATTACGTTGCCCTGCAGCAGCAGTCCTTTGCCAGCGCCTGGCCAGTCGCCATACTCCATTTAGAGGGTTTCAAAACGTGCGCGAAGCACGGCCCATCACGACACAAAACCCCTCTGTGGGCCTTTACCGCTTTGCCACTGCCTTCCCAGGTCACCGCGAACACGTTGCCCTGCAGCGGCAGCCCTTTGCCAGCGCCTGGCCATGTCGCCATACTCCATTTAGAGGGTTTCAAAACGTGCGCGAAGCACGGTCCATCAGGACACAAAACCCCTCTGTGGGCCTTTACCGCTTTGCCACTGCCTTCCCAGGTCACCGCGAACACGTTGCCCTGCAGCAGCAGTCCTTTGCCAGCGCCTGGCCAGTCGCCATACTCCATTTAGAGGGTTTCAAAACGTGCGCGAAGCACGGCCCATCACGACACAAAACCCGTCTGTGGGCCTTTACCGCTTTGCCACTGCCTTCCCAGGTCACTGCGAACACGTTGCCCTGCAGCAGCAGTCCTTTGCCAGCGCCTGGCCAGTCGCCATACTCCATTTAGAGGGTTTCAAAACGTCCGCGAAGCACGGCCCATCACGACACAAAACCCCTCTGTGGGCCTTTACCGCTTGGGGTTTCAAAACGTGCGCAAAGCACGGTCCATCAGGACACAAAACCCCTCTGTGGGCCTTTACCGCTTTGCCACTGCCTTCCCAGGTCACCGCGAACACGTTGCCCTGCAGCAGCAGTCCTTTGCCAGCGCCTGGCCAGTGGCCATACTCCATTTAGAGGGTTTCAAAACGTGCGCGAAGCACGGCCCATCACGACACAAAACCCGTCTGTGGGCCTTTACCGCTTTGCCACTGCCTTCCCAGGTCACCGCGAACACGTTGCCCTGCAGCAGCAGTCCTTTGCCAGCGCCTGGCCAGTCGCCATACTCCATTTAGAGGGTTTCAAAACGTGCGCGAAGCATGGCCCATCACGACACAAAACCCCTTCTGGGCCTTTACCGCTTCGCCACTGCCTTCCCAGGTCACCGCGAACACGTTGCCCTGCAGCGGCAGCCCTTTGCCGGCGCCTGGCCAGTCGCCATACTCCATTTAGAGGGTTTCAAAACGTGCGCGAAGCACGGCCCATCACGACACAAAACCCCTCTGTGGGCCTTTACCGCTCTGCCGCTGCCTTCCCAGGTCACCGCGAACACGTTGCCCTGCAGCGGCAGCCCTTTGCCAGCGCCTGGCCATGTCGCCATACTCCATTTAGAGGGTTTCAAAACGTGCGCGAAGCACGGCCCATCACGACACAAAACCCGTCTGTGGGCCTTTACCGCTTTGCCGCTGTCTTCCCGGGTCACCACAAACACGTTGCCCTGCAGCGGCAGCCCTTTGCCAGCGCCTGGGAATCCTGGTGAAAATCATGGACAAAACATGACAAATATGGAAACATGTGGGATAACATCGCATAACATCGGATAACCATGGCCCTCAAAATGGGGGTCGGCGGCACCAGGGCGTTAGCCCATTTATATATATTTGATATGATTATATGATTTTAAGTCTAGCTCTTAGAGGTGACCCATACCCATTCCACCTTTGAAAACGCCGCGTTACAGTTCCGGCAGCGGCCGGCCGTCGCAGGCCACGTTGGGCCACAACAACCTGAGACGCCGTGCGGTGGGGTCGCAGGTGGGCCAAAACGATGGTGATTTATGGTGATATTTATGGGAATTTATGGGATTTTATGGGATTTGATGCTGATTTCATGGGATTCATGGGATTTGATGCTGATTTCTGCCTCATCTCAGTTTCTAAATGGGTTAGTTCACCCGGTTCACCCCAGTTAATTTCTGATTGGGTTGAACTAAGAATGTCCAGCTATGGGCTGAACAAAGCCACCGGGATGAGCCAAGTAGCAGCAGAAATGGTGGTTTCATGGTGATTTAGTTGAATCTCATGGACATGTCATGCGATTTTAGGGGATTTCATGGGATGCTAAGTTGGTTTATTCATCATTCCAACAACGATTGGGCTTATGGTAGACCCATATGCTCCATGTACGGAATATTTACCAACATTTACCCTAAAAATCAACCAAATGTAGGTAAATATACCATACATGGAGCATATGGTAGAGATATTGAACTAGTTGATGGGGTGAAACTAAAACGAACAAACACACCTCGTAGAATTGGAAGTTTTGCCTGGTCAATGATAGCAATGAGCTGGAAAAAAGTCTGTGATTCGATGGTTGGAGATTGTCATAATCAATGAGGGGAATCCCTATCAACCCTCCAGTACGAATGACATTTTGGCTTTCCAACACTACAATGTGGGGCCCCTAAATGTGATGTGAATGTTGGTTAACAAAAGCCCCAGTAACTAGTTCGTTATAAATACCATAAACCATAGTGAAATTGGAGTTATTTGCACCAGCTTAGCTATCGAACGGGGGCCTCACGTTGTAGTCATATGATTGTGGAAAGTATCTGGACAATTCAGAAGTTTGTCAAGTTTAGAGTCCAGAAAAGCCTCAAATTCTTGGACATGACACACGATGCTATGGATGCTTTTGGACGTGGAGTCAATTTCTGCCGAGCAGTGAGTCCGTCAGCAACCTGCAACCGAAGCATTTTTCTGATTCCCCTATAAAGATTATATGAGGTCGCTATGTTCACCAACTTAGCTATTAACATCCCAATAAATCACCATTTAAAATCACCATTTAAAATCACCATTAAATCGAGTTTTCGTGGGCCCCATGAAAAATAGTACCCCCTTAAAAGGTGACCCATCACAACATGTCGAGGAAAAATAGCCATCCCCCAACCGATGGTAACATGGATCCCATCCATATACCCTAGTCATGTTATATATACCAACACCATGGATCCGTCATGGGCAATCATCCCCAAATTCTGGGGCCCCGTTCGTCTTGACCTCCGGACAAATTGGCAACCTCCGGCGTTCGGAGTGCCGCAAAAAAACGTCTCCTGGACTTCCAACATCTGCTTCCGAAGGGGAATCAGCCCACTCGGTCATTTTTTGGATCGCAACTCTTCAAACATTCCAGCAACAGATCAGACTCGGAGGTGGATTTTCGAACTTGGCTTCAGCGGCAACTAGGCGCTTCAAGTCTGAAGTAGAGAGCTGCTTGGCTGCCTCAGCTCGACAGCCACCTTTGAGCGAAGAGGCCCAGCGCCGAGCCGGTCCTGTCGCGGCTCCACTGTATCTTTGGTTTATAAGTTTAAAACCACCATTGCCCTCTGGTAAACTAACGCAACTATGGAAAATCATCATTTTTAATGGGTAAATCCACTATAAATGGCCATGTTCAATAGCTATGTTAGTTTACCAGAGGGTAACTCGTTCCAGATATGTATCATTCAATGTTTTTTCTGTTTTAGGAGTTATGTTATGTTATGTTTACCAACTAACTGGGGCACCAGCTTGTGACTATCAATTCATTCATTTTACACAGCAAAGGAAAATCGCCAATTTACAAATAATTTACAAACTAACAATGGTGATTGTCAATAACCGATCGGTTCAAGATCCATTAACATCCATTAACTGTAGTTCGATCTACCATAAGCCATAGAATTCACCAAGGTATTAACTGTAGTAGATTCGACGAACCGATATATGGGGCCTGATACAGATAGTAGATAAACTGACCACAATGATTCTCAACAACTATCTTGAACTACCAAAAACTATGTCAAAAAATATGTAATTCACCAAGATGCATTTCTTAGTGGTTAAATCAACACGATATTCCATGTAAACAATTACGGTAACTAGCATTGAATCCCATATTGGTAGTGCATGGTTTAATCCTAATACTTTAATGGTTAGATCCCATTCAATATCACCAGAACATTCATGGGAGGTGTTTTTTACTGGGTTTACCACATTATGGTAACATTTTTTCCTACAATGTGTGGGCCCCCAGTTATAAATTGGTTTCAAAATTATAAACCCCATGAATACTATAGTTAAATCATAAGTATCATAAACCATATAGTTATTGGAGGTATGTTCACCAACTTAGCTATCAACATCCCATTAAATCCCAATAAATCACCATAAATCACCATAAATCACCATTAAACCACCATTAAATCACCATAAAACCACCATTAAATCACCATTAAACCACCATCAAAATCACCATAAAACCACCATTAAATCACCATTAAACCACCATCAAAATCACCATCAAAATCACCATAAATCACCATAAATCACCATAAATCACCATAAATCACCATAAATCACCATGAAATCACCATTAAACCCAATTAAAGTCCATGAATTCTGGGTGAATTCACCGTTCCGTTTCGCTGCGTTCACGGTCACGCCACGCGGTGCCCTTTTTGGGCGTCACGGTGACGCCCAGCACCGGGAAGTCCGTCTCGCCGCCGGCGCCTGCGGCACGGCACACTTTTGGGACATCCGAGGGATGTCCCCATGGTGCCTGGTGAAGCAAGGCGTTACCATCTGGTTATGACTAATAGGGATATATTAATAGGGAATTATAGGGGATTTATAGGGATTGATAGGGGATTTATAGGGGATATAATGGATATTACCCTCTGGTTATGACTAACAGTTCGCCATGGTTAAGCCATGGCCCATCCATCGAAATAGATGGGCCATACCGAACTTGAAAAAATGGGTGGATCTTTCCATGGCGAACTGTTAGTCATAACCAGATGGTATAAGTTGATTTACAGCAAGAGTTGATGGTTTCCCCAGAACTAATCCTATCATTTTTGGGGGACTTCGATGGACTTGGTCATTATATACTGTGAAATAACACAAACATAGGGAGATAACTGATTTCTATGGAATTATAATTGGTGATTTCGAGAAAGTTATTAAATGGTAATATCTTAATAGTGATGAATAATGGTTGATACTGTGGATGGTTGCGAAATCCTGCACCAGTTGATGGTAAACATCCCATTAGGGTTTCAAACATCCTTTTGGTGGTGCAAGATTTTGCTGGCCCATCCACAGTATCATCCAGATATGGGTGTTTCCATAAAGAAAACACCGACTAAAATTGATAATTAATGGATGATTTAGGGGTACAGTACCCGTATTTCAGGAAACATCTAGATCCATAATAAAGTGTTTGGAACATTCGCATGTATGTCTGAATCGCATCTTTATCATTCAGTTATCAAAACATGGGATTAAATATCATCAATTGTCATTGAATATGATGAATATGAACGAATATGAACGAATATGTTTAAATTAGGATCGAATGTGGCCGAAAGACGAAAAACCGGACAGTTCTGGACATAGAAATGGGTTGAGCTGCACAATGAGGGATTTGCCAATCAAAGATAGGCGGGCCCTCGGAAACACATTCGACTCCCGAAAAGAGTGATAATCACAGACCCATGCAAGCTGATCATTTCTCTCTTATATTTCCTCTTCATTTCAAATATCATTTAATCATTTTAATCATCTGTTTTTGTTTTTTTTTGACCTGTCACAACTTGATTCACTTATAATCCCATCCCCCATTAATATGATTAATATCATTACTAAATGCTCCTGTATGGTCCCAATATATGTGGTGTCATCCCCTATGAAACGATGGTTTCTGTTTTTTTTTACAAACCATGATTCAACCCAAACATTAATCATGACATAAACCTATAATTATATATAAACCCCTATGATTACTATTACCCCCTATAAAAACCCTATAAATTCTCGCGCCCTGGCGCCCGGGGGAGAGGATGCTTTCGCCGTTCGCCACCTTCCGGCAGCTCCGATAAGAAGACCAGGGCAGAGGCCACGCGTTGCCCGAACTGCTCCAGCTGGGGATCGGAGGCATCCGCGATCCAATCCACGTGCCTCGGCGGGCTGCACGTTGTGGAGCACAGCGGGGCGGGCGGGCTGGTCATGGTCGTTATAAACTGACGAAGTAGGTTACCCTCTGGTAAACTAACATAGCTATGGAAAATTACCATCTTTAATGGGTAAATCTGGCCTCAGCTGCGTGTGCAGGAACACAGCTGCGACAGGCGGCCAGCAGCAGCAGCAGCAGCAGCAGCACAACATGGCCTGGCCAAGAAAGGTTTGACATTGTTTGGCCATTCATTTATGTTCCTTGTCTAGTCTTGGTTCCGTGCACAGTGCACATTATCAACCCCGGAGCTGCAGCGCACCTTTTTTAGACCGAATGCTAGGGTCGCTCAATCCGTCAACCTGTGACGGCGCCCCAGTCGCCGGCGCCCCAGTCGCCGCCGCCGTTGTCCCAGTCCTGCCACTTCCAGCCTGTGTGGTCCCAGCTCTGCCAAGACGCATCATCTTCGTCAGGCTCCTCTTCATCTTCGTCTTTGTCGTCTTCTTTGCGGTATCTTTGTCTCTTCTTGTTCCACTGATTGGCTTTGTAATAGGCGAAAGTGTCTCGCCTTTTTTGGCCTCCACCGCCGCGACCGCCATCTCGAGATTTCCCTTGGCGCATCTCCTTCACCTTTCCTTCACACGCCCGCAAGCGGGCCAGCAATGGCCGCAAAGCCGCTGTGATTCCTGCCTGGATCGCCTTCTCGATGCCCTGCGGAGTCATGGCGACACTACTCGCAGGGCACAAGCCAGCGGCCGCGGCAGCTTGGGCAGCTTGTTGCGCCGCGGCTTGTTGAGAAGCAACAGCAGCAGCATATTGTTGTTGTTGTTGGTGGTGCAGAGCTGCCTGCTGCTGCTGGTGCTGCTGCCAAGCAGCCGCAGCCGCCATCTGCTGCTGCTGCGCTTGCTGCTGCTGGTGGGCGGCCAAGGAAGCAGCCAGCTGGTCGCGTTGTTCACGAGTCCACTGAGGCTCTGGGGCCTGTCACACAATGACGACTCATTGGATTCAAAGCTTGCTGCAGTTGGCAGTCATGTCTAAGAAGAGTTAGTGACACACATGAGTGCTTGCTTACTCCCTGCCTTTGAGCCGCCTTCATTGGTCGTCGACGCCAAAGGGAAGCAGAGAAACAACAGCAGGAAGCAGCGTACCATGGCCAGGGCTGGAACCGGGATGGATACGAACGAGTTCAGTTTTTTTTAAGCCAGCTTGCGGTCGAAACATTCCCACCCTCTCAGCAGCCAACGTCACATGGGTCCTACCTCATCATGAGTAAGGACAAGTCAAACTTTCCCAAACCATGAGGACAACAGCGTCCTGCTGGTCTTTCCCTGCTTCCTGCCAGCTATTTAAGCTGTGAGGAGTTTGCTGCTTCAATGACCACAAAAAGTTATTAACATAGAATTTACTTATAATTAGTTTTCTTGTTTTTTCTCATTTATGTGCAATTATTTCACATTATCAACCCCACAGTCTTGCAGCAGCAATATGGCCTCAGCTGCGTGTGCAGGAACACAGCTGCGACAGGCGGCCAGCAGCAGCAGCAGCAGCACACATGGCCTGGCCAAGAAAGGTTTGACATTGTTTGGCCATTCATTTATGTTCCTTGTCTAGTCTTGGTTCCGTTCCAAAATAGCAGAACAGCAGCTGTGCCGCAATGTTTTTCACTGACTGCTAGACAGCCAATGTTGCCCCTGCGCTGCTAGTGTTTAGCACGAAATGAAAAGAATGTGTAGCTGAAGTCCCCAACAGCCACGACCCCAAAATAAAGACAATGATGTCAGCCATCGCCTTGATGTCTGGAGCTATTGCTCCAAGCAGAGAAAACAAAAGCTGATCTCTTGCAGCTTACATTCCCCGAATTAAGCAGGATCATTTTCAGTGGAGCTGTCGGTCGAGCTGCTGTCACTGCTGCTGCTGCTTCCACTGCTCGAGGTGGAATGTCCCGAAGTCTTTTCCCACTCTAGCTGCAAGCTTGTCAGCACTTGGCAGCTTCCACTTTCGCAGGCAGCGCATGGTGAAATAAAATTCTCCACTTTCTCAGGCATTTCGGCTGGGACAAAAGCCAAATGCTTGGCCCACACCCATTCCAGCGCTGCCTGCGCTGCATGATGCTCCCCAGCTGCGCTATCAAACTTGTGTTGCCGGGATTGCTCTTTGAACTCGGTGGGCACATGAACCTTCCGACTGTCTACCTTGTAGTAGCCGATGAAGCATTTGTGCCGCGGCTGCCGCAGCAAGGCAACATATGTCACAAAGCTTGGAAGATCTGAAGGCAAGAGCTGCGCAAGCCAAGGAACTTCCGTTCGCCAGGCTTTTTTTCTCACCACTTTGTGAGAATCTTGCTGCGGAAGCTCAGCTACCCTCATGAGTGAAATGTCTTCTTCTTCTTCTTCAGCTTGCAATGTCTGTGCCAAACCTGGAGGATCCAACAAATCACTATTGCCAGCATCAAGGAAATGCTCTAAATTACTTTACTTCGAGTTATCCCCACCATGACATTTATTTTGTTACTGGCAAATCTTCTGGCATTCTGTCTGACATCCTTTCTGGCATTCTATCTGGCAAACATTCTGGCACTTTATCTGGCATACCTTCTGGCACTTTATCTGGCATATCTTCTGGCATTTTACCTGGCCATTGAGGTCCAGCGGTGCCCACTGAGCTCCGAAGGTCCTAGGTTGAGGTCCAGTGGTACCCACTGAGCTCTGAAGGTCCCAAGTTGAGGTCGAGCGGTGCCCACTCAGATCGGCAGCCGGCAGTTGCGGTCCAGCAGTGCCCACTGCGCGCAGAAGTTGCCGAAGAGATTGGCGAAGAGTTGGCAAGGCGGAAGTGGACATGGAAGTGGATGCAGAGGTGGTGGAGGAGAAGGAGAAGGACGAGGAGGAGAAGAAGGAGGAGGAGAAGAACAACTGTGATAAAATCTAACAACCCTCACTTGGCAGGTGGGGAAAAATGAATTTAGGATTTAGGACCATCATGGCCAGCCTGCATCTTCCAAAACCACATCATCATCAAGTTCGACTGCAAAGGGGTAAGCTTCTTCTTCAGGATCACACACAGGTCCGGGGCAATGGGATTCCCCAGGGGCAGAAGGCAATCCGTTCCCCACTTCTTGTCCGCCACGCAACTTATCCGAACCGATATCAACTATAAATGGCCATTTTCAATAGCTACGTTAAATTACCAGAGGGAATAACGTTATAACCCCAGTTCTTTCAGTGGATTAACCCCACCTATCCCACTTTATAACATTTTATAACCAGGAATATAAGCCATTTACTAAGTGGGATGATCCACCAAGTAGTAATTAATAAAGAGATATGATCATGATGAACATTGATGAATGAGTAAGAATGTGGATTTGATGTTGTAAACAGATTCCAAACTACATTGATTTTCGCGATCATACGCAAAAACTTGGATGGTAACTTGGGGGACCCCATTTTTAGGAAACCTCCATGAAGGACATTAAGAATGTGGACTTTGTGTTTTAAACAATTTCTTATTCTTCTTGTAGAGATCCAAATAATTAAATAGATCCAATCTGGAAGCATCCCAGGAATGACATTTTTGGTATGCCCTGGAAGTCAAATGGCTCATTGTACCCGCAACAAACTAGGAGAGTGATAATCCACAATTTCTATCAGGGGTAATCCATGAGTCACTAAGATTTTCTGGGATAACCATCTAGGTATAGTTACAAGGTGGTGGCCAGCATTGGCTATGGATCAATACCTATATACAGGAACATCCATTTACCAGCTATTTTTCATCGTGGTCACCAAGGGTTAAAGCTTTTGACCCATCCCAACAAAACTACCATAAACCACAGAATTCACCAACTTATACCTGCCAGATAGGGCTTGGAAGATGATTTTCCACTACAAATTGGTGATTTTCAGGGTCCAACTGTTAATGTCCATTTTTCCGCAGTAAAACGTCATGAACTCCCCATGAAATCCGGTCAAATCTCGCGGACCGCCACCCGAGATGCTGTTCGAAGCCCTGGTCCGGCCGTCCGTAGTGCACCGCGCGCAGCGGCTCCAGGTACGACACCTGGCGACCGCGACGGCGACCGGTGCCGGAGGAGTTTTTGGGCCATGGGGAAAAAAAACGAGTCCTGGTTAGGAACTGGTTATCAATGGGATTATTCATTCCATAGGTCCATAAGGCTTATTTCAGTACTTATAACTGGTAAAGGACCATAACTGTATAAACTACGAAGTATCCCAATTAAATAATCCATTTACTAAGTAGTTAACTAACTCCATGGTCCATCTTAGTAGAGTTTATGGCGCTCGAAACCACTTATAAATGGTTTTAGATCGGATTATGCATTCCATACATGGGGGTGACTTAGAAACATACAACTGGTATTTCGGGCCATAACTGTAGAAATGGTGGAACATGTAGAAAAATGTACCGAACCATGCGATTGAATGGGACTTACTGGGATTTAGATAGACAAAAATGGTGATCTGAACGTCCCAAAATGGTGATTTCGATTTAAACCCAAAGTATCCAAACACATGGTGAAACATAAAAAAACGGTGATTCCACCCAAAAAAAACACGTGAAGTGTGAGATCCGATTTTCAAAGAAGTGTGCTCTGAAACCACAAAAGGTGTTGTCTCAAGCAACACAGAAAATCAACAAAAGGTGCTGCAGGGGGTCTCTTCAGCACCAACAGTTGGGCCATAGAACCATGCAATAATCATGGAGATTCCGGGAAACATCAACAGATAGATAACGTCACATCAACAGGATCTATATGCATCTCTACTTGGTGGCTCATCCCACTTTGTAAGTGGGTTAGAATCCCAGTTATAAATGGGATAAGTAGGGTTAATCCACTTATAACTGGGGTTATAACCCACTTACTAAGTGGAACGAGCCACCAAGTAGTATGTGTTGCCCTGTCATATGCATGTCAACTGAAAAGTTCATTCTTAGCAGGATAGTTTACTCCCTCCTTTTAATGATCACTTCAAACATGAGCCCATCAAGCTGTACCAAAGCAAGGGAAATTGCCCAGAATTTTGATGCTGAATGGATGAACATACAGTTTGCTAGCTATGGAAGCCATGACCCAAAAAAAGAAATAGATGGTTTACCGAACTTAAAAATGGTGATTTTCTATAGCTATGTTAAATTACCAGAGGGTAATCAAAGACATCAAATGGATGATGATGGTAGAGGATTACACCCTTTATATCTGAGATTCTCATTTCATTCATTGTGGGAAACGGGAAACCTCATCAATGTTCTCATTTTTGTTTCCATTTATAACCCTGAAAAACTCTCAAAAACACATCAGAAAACGATAAAACCTTGTAGAACCACTGGATTTTTCCAGGATTTCTACCATTTTCCGCCCCTGCTCCACCTCCACCCCCAGCGCGTCCGCCACACGCCGCCGCAGCGCGTCCGCCGCACCGCCGCCTTCGACCGCGCCGCGGTCGCGGCGGCCGAAGGCGTCCAGGCGAACGGCGGAAAGGAGCTGTGAGACCTGGACCCGGTGAGTGCTTTATCACAGGTTTTTATCTCATAAACTCCCCATGGAATCACAGGAAATCCTATGAATTTCATACTTGGTGGCTCATGTTTGAAGTGATCATTAAAAGGAGGGAGTAAACTATCCTGCTAAGAATGAACTTTTCAGTTGACATGCATATGACAGGGCAAAACATACTACTTGGTGGCTCATCCCACTTAGTAAGTGGGTTATAACCCCAGTTATTTCAGTGGATTAACCCTACTTATCCCATGTAAATCACTGGGATTATAACCCACTTACTAAGTGGGATGAGCCACCAAGTAACTGCTATTATACCTACTACTGTATGTTAATAGATAACAGTTATAATAACAGTTATTTACCCATCTCTGAGAATGGGATTATATATTCTATAGATAGGGTGTTGTTAATGGGACCATAACTGTTATTATAGGTGCACATAACTGTTATTATATAGGGTTTTGTTGATGGGACCAGTTATAGCTACTAACAAAAACTCTATCTATAGAATATATAATCCCATTATCATAGTTAGAAGTTGGATGAAGTTGGTGCGTTTATAACTCCAGTTTCACTGGGATTTATGGTGGCTATATCGAAGTAGTTACTAACTGGGCTATTTAGTTGTAACTGGTTATTTCTATAGTGATTCATGGTGATTAATAGTGATCAATAGTGGTTCAATGGCTGGTCAGTGGCTAAACATCTGATTGATGATGGTTATAACTGGTCATTTCAATGGGATTATACATTCTATAGATAGGCTTTTGATAGTAGTTATAACTGGTATAACTCGGGCCATAACTGTTGGGAAATATGTTTCCCATTGGGTGAGTTACCCAATGATCGATGGTTGCGAAATCCTGCACCACACAGGGTAACTATTGAGATTCCTACACAAATACTGGGGCTATCTATGAGTTTTTTTTTGGCGGGATAATCCATCCACCAGCTGTTTTTTTTTGGGATTTTCGCAACCGTCCACAGTAGGATCCGAATTAAATGAAGGTTTTAAACCCACATTCGCTGGGGATGGAGATGAAATAATGGGATGATAAATGGATATTTTTTCATGGTAATGGTGTAATATTGGAAATGGAGGTATTTAGCCATTGGAAAGCCATTGGACTTGTGGTGGGGATTTGGGATGATTTACGGTGAATGCATAATTATGGGGAACATGATGCCTATAGTCAATATTAACAATCCATACAAAGTGGAGTTCCGTAGACATAAGTTGGTTATAGCTGGTTCGTAAACCCCATCAACTATGTATATATATATAATAGAGTTATATCATGTTATATCCCTATAATCCCTAGTTACTGTATTACAGTAGCCAGGCTATCAACCAACTGGTTATCTCAGGGGCCTCACTCACCCAATTTGGGTCATTTGACATCATCCCTGGGGGTAGTACCCGGTATATAATTTCTACGTCTACTGGGGATGGTTTATGGCATTGGATATCCCCGTTGGATAGCTAAGTTGGTGCAAGTAACTCCAATAACTATATGGTTTATGGATGTTTATGGTATTTATAACGAACTAGTTCCTAGGGCTTGTAAACCAACAAACATCACTGGGGGGCCCTACATTGTGGGATACATCGGTCACTCAACTCAACAACCGACCTAGACCGAAGAGGGGCCCCGTCTCCACCCTGGGCCCACCAAGCCTCGTTCGCATCCAAGAGGTTCTCGAGAATGCGCAAGGGAGGACCTCCCAAAATAGCGAAGCAATGAGGGGGTTACCCTTTGGCAAACATACAAAAAAGCTATGGAAAATGGGCGTGATTTTCCAGTTCGCAAAAGTCTGAATTTACCAGGTCGGGTATCAGCTCCAAATTGGAACACTCCATCCCATGATGGAAATCCGATGGCGGCTGTATGGATTAACCCTATATACGATAGATGGAGCTTTTCCCCAAATCCAACAAACTTGACCGTGACACAAAAATGTATACAATTTGTAGCATCAATAGATTCGTGGTGCCTTAAAGATTTTTACACCTCCTTTCTGAATGGTCTGTGATGAAACACGTCCATTCCCGGATGTGCCTAAAAACTCAGGGGGGTCAAGCAAATCAATCGGAAACATATGTTTCTGTTGGGGGTAGGTCAGGTGCATGTGATTACACACACTTGTGAAACAATCAAGGTTCAGGCTAAAAATTGTTGGTTTCAAAACTGGGTCAGTTTTGCAAAACGTCACTGGCCATGCCGTAGAGGGTTTGATGTGTGTTTAACCGTTGAAGCCACTGGACTTGGTTGATGTCTGAAGATCTTCTGGCGTACGGGTCAGAATCCTTCGACCAAACACATGGATGAATAATATTTGCAGTGTAAAAAACAAAACATTATCTATAATTATTATAATGATATAATGATAATGTTATTGTAAATTAATGTTATTAAATTATTAAATTAAATTGTATAATGATATATAATGATATGTCTTAAGGAACCAATTAATTCTCGCTAATCAATTGCCTATGATAAAATGTGGCAACCCGGATCAATCAAGGTGAATCTGACAGGCTACCCGTGCTACGCCATATGCGAAGCATGGCATTTGTTTAGCTACATTTGAAGACCATGTTTATCTAGATGTTTATGCGAATGTTGGTTTATATTGGAACCATGTTTATCCAGATATGTTTGCATTGTTTATGCGAATGTTGGTTCATATATTTACATGGAGCATCTGTTTTTTTCTTTTTTGTTCATGGAAACGCTGAAGTCACTCTGGAGGATTCATTTTAAGACCTGCGAGGCATCGGAGTATCCAATTGAATTGGCTTAAGCCAAAGTTTACGAGAGAACCAATGGAAAACCACATGTCTTAGAAAAAAAACACAGGAAGAACCATAGAAATTTTCCATAAGTCCACCATAAATACCATAAATCCAGCATTTTTCAATTAAGAATCCATGGTTTCCTCCATATGAATTCCCTGCCCAATTTTTACCAGTCACAGCTCCAAGCCACGGTCCACCAACAGCCAGCCCAAGTCAGATAGACTGGCAGTCTCCAATCTTGACCACCTGAAATCAATGGATTGGTTTAAGGGAAAATTCACAGGAAACCATTGTTTTTACCATCAAATATAGGGGTTTCCTGTAAATTTTCCCATCATCCAGTTCTATGCTGAAAGCGTTGCTAAATCACCCCACGTTGTTTCTTAAACTGACCAAGGTTAAACAGGGTTGCTCCAAACACCCCACGTTTGAGGTGGTAAATCACGTAGATATAGAAAGTAAAATGACTGATTGCCGCACTTGTGGCTATCATTTATCTATAACGTTGTTTTTGCATCCCTGTTAAAGCATGTTAAAGCATGTCGAGTCGAAGCCTGTTCAAGCATGGTAGAGCACGTTAAACCATCTTAATCCAATTAAAACTATGCTGGTTGGTGGTTTCAACCCCTCTGAAAAATATGAAAGTCAGTTGGGATTATTATTTCCAACATATGTAAAAATAAAATTCATGTTCCAAACCACCAACCAGTATGTTACCCTCTGATTTTATCAAAAATCCACGGTTTTCGATGATTTCCCCCGGCTATCAACCTCCATGACTAGGGGACTTCCCAGCTTGCCATGTTTGATTGCAGCACTCCCATCCGTCATAACCCGTGGAACATCCCGTGGAACATCCCATTCTATATTCACATTTATCATGGAATTATATATAAATGATATATAGCATCATATATATATATAGAAACAAATGATGATTCCCATGATCAATCATGAATCATTTTATACCATATGCTATAAATATACTGTTGCCCAATCTTTAGTCCCGGAGAGCAGCTGTCTCCCCCTCGCAGCACCAAGGTGCACGCGCTGTGCCACCTCCAGACGATCCTAGCGCGCCGCAAGGGGCCGCAAGGGGCGCCCTTGGGGGAAACCCCCGTCCCCAAAATGGTGCAGTTACTATCTGGTTATGACTAACATAGCCATGGAAAGATCCACCCATTTTTTAGTTCGGTAAACCATCTATTTCGATTAGGGCCATCTATACCATGGCTATGTTAGTCATAACCAGAGGGTATATCAAGTTAAACAGTTTTCATTGGTGATTCAGATGGGGTTCATTCCACAAATGGGATGACTTACTGACTTATAACTGGTGTTTTCGGGCCATAACTGTGGCTGAAGACCCAGCCGAAAGTGTGGTTCAACTTGTTTTCATTCACCAGGAGATTTTTGTTGCAAAGCACTCTGATTTATTAAACCAACACCCGGTAACTGCGGGATTCGCTGGGGTGAGTTTTGGACTTCACATGGAGCAGAACCTGGAGCTATTTTAGGATACACAGATGCTCCATCTGTGGAATAACTACCAACTTCTATGTGAACCGAAACATGGTTCAAATGTAGGTGGAATATGCCATACGTAAAGTATATGGGATACGCAGTAGAATCGGTGTTTCACCCAAGTTGGGGCAAAAAATGCTGGAGATTTAAGTTGGCAAACAACAAATTGGAATAGGCTCCGGTGTCATCAAACATGGCTTGCTGGAAACTCCACTATAACGATTTTGCCAGCTATAAACTGTAAACCTCCATGTATAATCATGTATAGATTGTGTTTTTCCAATTCTTTTCCCATATATTCTGGATGGAAAGTCATAAAAGTCATCTTCCAAACCACCAACCAGATATAGTATGTGTCATCAATGTTTCAGTTTCAGGGCTGACATATCAATACACATACCAACCATCTTGCTGAATTGATTTACCCATAGATTTGTCCCATTAAAAACCTCCATTTTATTGTTTTTCTATGTGGATTTGTCAGCCATGGAGCTGTTGCCACTTCCCAGCTCTCTGGATACTGTGCCACCAGCTGATTCACTCTTCCAGCGCTGGGTCTGCTGCGTCGCACCAACGTTTCCTGGGATGAAGGCTCCCAAAAAAGGCTCTTTTTGGGAAGCCGAGAAATCCTGGAGTATTGGATCTATTCATTTCTGATTTTTTTAGGATGGGATTAATGCAGTAAAACTATAACATAACAGATTCAGAAACCATTGTCCAGAGAGGTTACGATAAAACTTGAGGGGACCGGTGTGTCTGTTTTCCCCCATTTTCACAGCCCCAAAGTTTTGACAAACTTCAGAACCCAAAAGTCTTGTATGGTCCCTGCCAAGTCTACCCTGCGTGGCTAGTGATTGCAGGTTTGGTTTTTTGTACTAGATTTGTGGCTTCCTCATGCCGGTCTTCTGTCCCCGTATTCAACCACAGACCAGCCTTGTTATACTGTACTCCTTTTAGATCTTTAGGTTTCTGTTCCTGTCTTGCAAAAGTGTGAAAGGTGTCTTGAATCTCAGGATTAGAGCGTATATATATATATGAAAGTATATATATACACATAATATGGATTTGGTGAAGAAGAGGTATACCCCAAATGTTGACAACAAAAATGGTGGACGAACTACTAATGACCATCAAAACTGAGGCTACCAAATTTTCAGACCAAGCGTCTACGGGACAGCCATGTGGTGACGCAATTTCCATCAACCTCGACCGGAAATTTCAACAGCGAAGCTCGGAGAACCCAAAGAAAAAACTGAGATTCCTTCTACAGTTCTGGCCCTTTACCAGTTATAAGTACTTATAAGCCCATTTGTGGAATGTATAATCCCATTTATAACAAGTTATAACAAGTTATAACTAATCAATGGCCAGATCTGTATGTGATTCCATTTCCCTCATGTATTATATAATAGTTGCATTGCAATTTCAAAATCATAGTAACCATAGTAAGAGTAAGAATGGAATATCATAGTGTACCAGTGGGGAATATACTGGAAAGTGATGAACAAAAATGGATGGCATGGGGGCACCAATATTATATGAACCTATTTTCAGACAAATATTGAGTTTCATATAATATCACGTTTTTTTTCTCATATTGGAACCATATTATATCTTCAGTGAACCATTATTATATGAACCATTCTCTCATGTGTTGCAATCAAAGCACACATATTTCTCCAACTAAGATCCACCCAGTGATCCTCAGCAATTCATGGCGCTTGATCAGTGAGTAAAAAATAGCAAAAATGTCCATTAAGACCAATGATCCTATCATTTCCCAAGCTTTTTAGCGCCTTGAAAGGTTTATATATAAGTAACAAAAATGGATAATCCAAGGAACGTGTCCTGTTGAAACATCCATTCAGAGATGACTTCATGAAAAAATGCCCAAGATCTTTGTTGGTTTATAATTAATTATAAGCAACAAAAAAACACAATGGACAAAAAAAAACGTGTATCTTGCTTCAACAACTGCTTTCAGGGCCAAAAACCATCAAAAACCATCAAAAACCACAACATGTCTATTGCTTCACAATAACTATAAGTTATCATACCCTCTGGGAAACTAACATAGCTATGGAAAATCACCATTTTCAATGGGTAAATCCACTATAAATGGGCATTTTCAATAGCTATGTTAGTTTACCAGAGGGTATAAGTTCTCATAAATCCCCAATTGGTTCTATAACTCCCAACACTTGGAGGATCATCCCACGAATCGTGGCTGGTTAATATATACCCCGAACGGTTCGTAAGTCCTCTAGGTGGTTTATCCGATCTATCAATTGTTCGTTTTTCACTATATGCTTCTTAAACACTTACTAAGTGGGATAATCCATGATAATCCTCCAAGTAATCACCAACCAATCTAGAACTTTCATAACTCAACCAGCGACCGTTTTATAACTCGGCGCCAAGTGACTGAGGCGCTCCCAGCAGTGCTTCCACTTCAGATCTCGCTGCAGCAAGGGCCTTGGAGACGTGTGCGCCACGATGCTTCTCTGGAAACCTGACATCGGGAGGGCGATGCAAATATTGCCCCCAAAATATGGCAATAAATTGGGTTTGACCCATCCCCACATACATCTATATACTGTATATATATACATACATACATATGTGTATGTATATATATATGTATATATATGTATATATATGTATATATATACATATATATATACATATATATATATGTATGTGTGTGTGTCTGTGATACATAGTAATAGTCCACTCCTATGACCCCGGGCTACTCCATGAGTTATTGGCAATTTTATGGATAACATTCTGGATAACATTGTGGATAACATTGTGGATTCATATGATATGGATAAATGATATGGATACACATATGCATTGCAAATTTATGTGCTTGTACATATGTCATTGATGGAGACACCTATTGAAGTAACATGGCCAACTTTAGATGTCAAATGGCACAACTGGCAGGATCGGAGGTCACTTGTCAGGATCCCATGGGCAGAAGAGGTTCATCCAAGGGGTCACCAACGGGATCACTGACAACGGGGCACTCACCCCTTAGTTTCCTGAGAATCCATACAAATACAGTGTAAATACAGATAAATACAGTGTAGATACAGATATGTTTTTTTGGTGCTTGCTGCTTAGCCCCAAAAATCAAATTCCAAGTACCTATTTAGGGGGTACTTGGATCTACAGTGGCAAATCTTAGATTTTGTGCTATCCCCCACGACAGGAACCATCATACCCATCTAGTTGCCGGAAACCACTCGGGCCTATCAGTATGCTTTCCCCATTCAACTGGCCATAAATTGGAGTATCCACCTTTTAAGAAAAGCCAAAATTTGGGACGAAAAACCATTGAAATTGCCAATCCTTTATGCAAGAAGTTGTTTTTTAAACGCCATGTTGGCTTTGTTAAAGTACATGTGATTCCAATGATTTGTTAGGCACCTACAAATAGCATAAATATATAAATTCCCGACCCATATTCCCTGACAAAGCCGACAAAGATTCTTGAACTCCATTGAAATTATTGAAATCGTAAGACCAAATAAAATCACACCGTAATCACTCCGGATCACCTGTAGAATCTTGTCATTCCATTTTCAAAACACTATAATTAATTCATATTATACAATACATATACATACATATATATATATATACACGTATGTTATATACATATACATACATGCATATATATATATATATATATGTACGGGTACTGTATTATATTATATTGTATTAATATAATATAGTCAATATAGTATATATATATATATGTATATGATTGTACACAATTAGTAGACAAACATCTTATCCCCCCCAGGTTTCACCTGGCGCTGCTGGGGTGCAACGCCTTGCTGAGCGCCGCTAGTGCTGCCGATGGCGGCGGTGAGCGGTTCTTGTTCAAGGCCGTTCCGCCCGAAGCACTGGACGGCAGGTAGATGTAGAGGAAAGGCTCCTAGATGTCTCTGCAAAAAAAAAGGATTAAGCCACCAGAATTCGGGAAATGTGGAGGTTTTGTGAGGAACACTGGATTTGCATGATTTAAAGGAAGGAAAGGCAATTTGTGAGCAGCAAATGGGGAAAGCAACGACTCGGATTTTAATGAAAGAACATGGCGCTTACCAAGATAAACACAGTTCATCTGCAAAATTGAGGAGCTATGAATGCATTTAAGATTGATTGACCGCATCCGGATAGAACAAAAGCAAATCAACAGGACCCCCCTTATCTTTCATGGTAAAACGGTCATGGTCAAACCCAGTCAATGTCCTGAAGGTTTTCTCTACATAATCCAATGAAGAATGGAAGTGGAATCATTGGCTTTTGACCCCAAGAAATGGTTTGACCAGCCGAATGTTGAGAACCTCTTGGATTTCCTGGCGCTACCCCAGGAAATCCATGCTGTGAGGGGCATGATGGATGATGTACTAAAAAAAAGGGCTCCTAGAAACGAACAACACCACCCATGGCAAGCCCACGATCATTCTAAACAAGTGGTTGTTTTGATATTTCTGGTGCAGCGTGGCATCATATAATTTCCATCCATGGCAGATGGTTTCTACAAGGTAGGGCCCCCAAACGATAGATAAGTTGGCGGACATAACTTGGCTAACTAGGGTAGCAAGGGCTACAACATCTACAACATGGAGTTTATATGATATTGTAGTTAAATGTTATAAATTATAATTATAACATACTATAACTATAAGTGGGGTAAACATAACTTCAATAACTCTCCTTTATGATGATTTATGGTATAGTTATTGGGGCTTATAAACCAACAAACATCACTGGGGGGCCCACTTTGTGCATAAACTTTCACCCTTAGCTCCCAGTGGCTGCCAGGCTGCCAGGATCAAAAGCAACTGAAAAAACCTTTCCAAGTCCAAGTCCAGATAAGAAATATCAACTAAAACTCCCATTTTTTATAGGGAATATGAATACATATGAATACCCATAGCTCCTAGATGCTCCCTCCATTCAACCCGATAGACTTCCTCTCAACCCTCCAAGCGAAAAAGAACTTCGAACAGAATTCATCCAAACTCATGGATCCATCGCTGTGTTCACCCTCGCCTTCAGGCGACTGGAAACAGTCAAAATCAAAATCCGATTGGAACGTGTTGGACGCATGCTAAACTGGTTGGTGGTTGACCTACCCCCCTGAAAAATGATGGAGTTCGTCAATGGGGTTGGGATGACATCCCATATATCATGGAAAAATAAAAGTCATGTTTGAAACCACCAATCAGATACATATATATATATATATACACACTATAGTTATATCATGTTAAATCCCTATAATCCCTAGTTACAGAAACCACCAACCAATCAATAAACAACGGGCGGCCATCCCCAGCCCTCCATTCGTATCTCGTCGTCCTCGGCGCCGCTCAAGGGATCCACCTGACTCCACCAAGGTTCCAAGGTGCCCTCACCTTGCCCCGACACCTGACACAGGTCACCCAGGCTACCCAGGTCATCAATGGGAGATCTCCAGGATCCAACAGACCAGGATCCAAAGATGGAGGTACTAACTTAGTACCATATTTTTGGCCATATGAATTCTGGGGATATTCCCTGAAATTTAGGGAAAAATAGGCCAAAAATATATGGAATCGGTGCCTCCAATAAATCGGATCCTGGAGATCTCCCATTGAAAACGTCAATGGCCTATTTTTTTCACCCATATTTTTGGGTGGATTTTTACACGCCATTTATGGCGGAGAGTTTCGCGAAGATATGAAATGAAGCAGCTGGAGCTTTTGCAACGTTTGAAGTTGTGTTGACCAGCTATTTTATGGGTGGATGAACTAGCTATAGACTATAGATTAAAATAGTTGATATTTGACCAGCAAAAATTGGGGGCTTAACAAGCTAAAAGGATGGATAAACCATGCTTTATATAACCATGTAAAGAATGTGATTTAGCCATCAACGATCTAAAATTCTTGGCTTAACCATCAGTCGCATTATGTCTGCTGAAAATCCAAGCGTTAATGCAAACAATTTGCTGCTCATTTAATTCACTTTAATTCTATCTCCTACAATGTGGGCCCCCTAGGTTTAAGTTGGTTTATAAACCCCATTAACTATAGTTCTAAGTATAAACCATAGTTATGGATAGTTGTTGGACAGTATAAACCAACTTCGCTATAACTAGGGTCCCACATTGTACTATATATACTATCTGGGTAAATTATAATATTTCACTAACCTGAATTAAGGCCATTTGGGGATGATTCACCTTATTAACCATGATTCCAGTGAGGTCGCAGTGAGGTCGTTATAATTTACCCAGATACTATATACCATCATTGACAATCATCTCCTATCTCTAGTTTTCATTAGTTTTCCCGATGTCCCCAGGCTGTCATGTCCCCTCCAACGCGCACCTCCCAAGACTCCCCGAAGCCAAAGTTGCCACCTAAGCAGCGACCAGGACCACTCAAACATGGGAAAATCCTCGAACTAAATGGATGTTTATAGCTGAGAAAATCATCAATCATTGGATTGGTTTTAAGGGGAAATCTACAAGAAACCATTGTTTCTCCTATGAAATATGGGGCTTTCCTGCAAAATGTCCCTTAAATAATCCAATGAATAAATGGTGGATTTTCAATTGCCACGTTTGATTACCGGGGGGTAAGTGTTTTCTCAAGACCCAAAAACGATGGTTCAACTGAGTTTTTCAGCACCTCACCTACCATTGGCTGTGGAGGGTACACCAACTTGAGGACTTGACACCAACTAATTTGCCATAAATGGTGAGGGTGAATGGGACTTGAATGGGACTTGACACATGTTTTTTTTGCAATTCACCAACTAAAATTATGGCCACAGCAAACTCTCAATTTGCCAATTTGTGTTTGCCCATTTCTTCACGTAGCCTGAAACCCACAAGTTCGGAAAAGAGTATCTTACAAGGTGGTGCCCCCCCCACCTATAAACCAAAGTGAAACTGGAGTTATAAACGCACCAACTTTTCACGCTATCGTAAACGGGGATACCATCCACGTTACACCTTGGATCTGTATGGATCAACTGATGTTGCATAGCTGTAATGAAAATTCCCAGGGGGTACCCTCTGGTAATGACTAGCATAGCTATTGAAAATGGCCATTTATAGTTGATTTTCCCATTAAAAATGGTGATTTTCCATAGCTATGTTAAATTACCAGAGGGTATCTATTGCTGTTGATCTTACGTTGTATCTGTCCTATCATCCCTTACCGCCAAACATCAGACCCTCAGCGAATCGAAACCTACTTGAAAAGGCAATAGGTCAGCCAAGTTTGCTAACTGATTACAAGATGCGCTCAGGGGAGGCGGCAGCTCGCTCCCATGTCTGCATGATGTCTAAACATGTTCACTTAAAACATGCTATCACTTACTTCAACAAGCTGAGACATGCCATTGCGGACTAGAATCCTGTCACTAGCACGGTTGGCTTTGCCCTGTAGAGAGATAGATAGGCTTCAAGCCTCCAGCACCACCAAGGTGACCCATGTTGGCAGCGATGGCCACGTGGTCGCAGCGCGATATGCATCGCGCTCTTCTCCGGTTCAGAGCGGAGCGAAGCATCCAACCTGTAGGTCGCTGTAGGTGGCTCCACTTCCAAAGGATTTGTGAAAAAAGTTGTCCAATGTTTCTCCTTGAACATGTTGTCCCTCAAGAGGAAGAATGAAGCGGCGGCACTCCAGTTCAAACGCACATAGATTCCTCTCAAAAGTTGCTGCACCCCATCGCTTCAAGGTGGGTCCCACAATTAAAAGTTAGTTTATAAAGCCCATGAACTATATTTATAATTTTATGAATTATATGTTTATAATAGTTGAGTATAGTTAACTTATTAATTCTGGGTTTTGAATCTACAATCCCCGGTTACAGTAATGTTATATTCCCACATGAGCCCTTAGATTAAAAAACAGTTATAAACCCAGCTATCGTTCGGTGGTCCCACCAAGTATCTTCGTGAAACCAACTCCAGCATCCGAGATCTGCACTTTGCAGGCAAGCAACTTTCCCACCAATCTCGGCTGAAGCACAAGGTGTTTTCCTGAAACTGGAAATCAGAAACCTTCCAGTTTGAAAGAGGCATGGTGAATTTACTCATAAGGGAGAACAGTGGGTTGGTGGAGATAATATGTATAAATTGTATCATTTTAATTCATTGTATACAGCATCATGATCATAAATTTACGATTTGAAGAGAACTACCCTCTGGTAAACGTTTACATAACTATGGAAAGATCCACCATTTTCTAGCGTAAATCCACGAACTAAATAATAACCATTTTCAATAGCTATCACCCCTTCACCTAGGCTGCAGATCCTTGGGAATGAGGCCCAATTGGCCAGGCGAGGATATTGGCCGAATCCACGTGCTTTTGATCTGAAAAATCATCGAAAATTGGTGGTATACCATGGATCCATGGTTTCAACACTACATGTTGAGTTTCAACCCCTCTGAAAAATATGATATAGTCAGTTGGGATGATGACATTCCCAATATATGGAAAAACAGTTCCAAACCACCAACCAGTCTTGGTTGGAATGTCACCCAATTAATTCGTGTTCTCCGCGCCAACCTATTCTGAACTATCTTCATGATATCCATCTTTGGGTTTCTCATGCTAGGACCAATGGGGGCAAATGTGGCCAAAAATGGTGAGCTTTGGATGCCAATTGATGCAAAAGCAGTATGAGTCTACCTCTGGATAGGCTAATCTTGGGTCATCGATAGCCTCTGGCAAGAACTAAATGGGCCACTCATGGCTATGTCAAATGACCAAAGGCTATGCAAGATGGCCCCCCCAGTTAGATGTGTTGGTTCAGTTTCACTCCCTTAACTAGAGTCATATCATATCCCCCTTGTTAACCCTATAGCTAAACAAGTTCTAAAGCGGCTTAACTATCCAGGGTTTCTGGTTTATGGCCTTGACGGGAAGACCATGACGCTGGTGCGAGCTCGTGCTTGGGTCGCTTTCGAATTCTCTTCCCTTCACCATGGTTCTGGGTTTTTTTAACTACAGTTGTTACCTATTTTTAATAGGTAAATCACTCCGGAAATCTGCATGTTTTGTTTTCCTCTCTCGTCTTCTCCTTTTCGTCCTTGAATCTGCCACTCTTAGTGGATAACTCCGTGGCAAATGCTCCAAGAACTTGTCGAACACCTTCTCAATCAACTGTGCAGGCTATCAAGTGGAACCCAAAAAAACTTCATAACTTCATACCCCTCGTCAAATTCTGCTGGTTGATCAAATGAGCCATTGAAAATACCGCGTTTTTTCCAACCCTATCATTTCCCTAAACCAGAAAACATGCCTCATTTTTGGCTGCCCGTTGGATCATTCTCAATGGATTGGTTTCTGCGGGAAAACCTTAACCGGAAACCATACCCCATCAAAATATGGGGTTTTCCTGTAAATGTTCGATCCTTTGACATTAGAAGTGAGCGCAAATCCCACACAAATACTTGTCAAAAACACATGTTGAATTTGCTGCGACTTTGAGTTTAATGTTAGTAAAGCCAATGTCATCAACCACCCATATATTTTTATAGTTTATACCGCCCATAAACATGGTAAAATGGGTGACGGTGGATCCTATTGCTTTACTGTAACATTACCTCGGATCATAGACGCACCTTGATTCATCTCTGGAAGCCAAGGCACAAACGCAATGGGTTCCAAACCAATAGGTCGCACCGACAGCTCCTACCGGGGAAGCATCGCTGTTTTCTTGGTGTATTGCTTGGAATGTCGGAAACATGACTTGCCCAACTTGACCAATTCGTATGAATCAATGGTGATAAAACTTGGTTTACCACTATGTAATACTATGTATCTCTTCTGAACATCTCCATCGTTTGAGGCTTTCAGCCGCTGTTTGATCATCTTGTCACTACAAAGCTCCCAACAGTTCCCTCCATTACCGGATCGCGATTCATCACATCCATATTTGCTCAATGTGAGGCCCCCCAGTTATAAGTTGGTTTATAAGCCCCAGTAACTACAGTTATAAATACCATAAACCATAGTTATTGGAGTTATAAACCAACTTAGCCATGTTGGGGGCCTCACATTGCTAGTCATATTATCTCATTAAATAATAATCCTGATAGATAGACGATGAATAACTATGACAAATTCAAAGATATATTCCAATTCATAGTGAGGAATTGGATTGACCTTTCCATATTCTATCTACTCCAGGATGACTACATGCATATATACATACATATATACATGCATACATATATATATATTATAATATCATATACAGTATATATTTATATAATGTAATATATTATATAATGTTATATCCCCATGATTCTCAACATGATTGCAATATTCCAAGCTTGGGAGCCCACTTCGAAGAAAAACACGAGACTCTCCTGATCCGGCACCGAATAAAAAGAGGCCACTTCGATGGCCGAGCAATTCACACCTCCTGGACTTCGTGAGGAAAGCCAAAGGACCTACCCTCTGGTAAACATAGAAAAAACTATGGAAAATCACCATTTTTAATGGGACAATCAACTATAAATGGCCATTTTCAATAGCTATGTTAGTCATTACCAGAGATGTGAAAGTGGCCACATATAACACTTGTACTTCAGGTATCACTTTGGTAGGCACGACGAGTTTTGGATATCCTGGAAAAATGTGAGTGTTCCTCAAAATTAGATACTGTACCCCCAAAATTGGATGTTTACTTAAGAGTAACAGAATTTGCCGGTTTTTCGGCTGGGTATGATATGGTATGATATTTCAAAATTCCTGCTGGCCAACCTACTCAAAAGTGGCTGGAAAATTCATGATGCACAGGATGGGGCCCCCAGTCGAGCTCGCGTTCAGTTGAGATATGGCTGTGGCTGAATTCGATGCTGAATTAACTCTGGTTTATGGTAGATTTAACGAGTTCGAGTTTTCATGGTGAATAACTCAACCAATCTAAAGCAATATAAACCAATCACGTTTGGGGGCACCATTTAATATCCCCAGCCAGGTCCTTGTGTTTTACCATCCTATATAGAATACCATACATACCATACCATAATTACCTTCTGGTAATTTAACATAGCTATTGAAAATCACCTTTTTTAATGGGAAAACTCACTAAAAAATGGTCATTTTCAATAGCTATGTTAAATTACCAGAGGGTACCATAGATATCCCAGCATCCTATATGGTCATCCTTGTTAACATTTAATTTAGTACAATGTGAGGCCCCCGTTCGATAGCGTTCAGTTGGTGGAAATAAGTCCAATGTCACTATGGTTTATGGTATTTATAACTATAGTTACTGGGGCTTATAAACGTAGAAATCCCCATCCCATATATCCCTGCTGGGGTGTTGCACATGGCACGGGTCCTTGGAGGTGTTGCACTTGCTTTCGGATGCGGTCCATGGTGAAGACCTGGATCTCGAATGGTGGAAGAGGATCCAATGGGAATCGAGTGGGGGATATATATGGAACATATATGGACCCTATGGATCCAAGTACCTTCTTAGGAAGTGTTTGGAATATAATTTACTATAATTTGGAGGCTTAAGTACCTTCTCAGATCGTGTTTGGATCCATAGGGGGATATAGCCATTAAAAAATACTCCAGTGGGGTATATTTTTGTGGGATGTATCATGGATAATCTTACTGGGATATATCATGATTTTATTTCCTCGATATCTCTGGGATATTAATGGATAAATGATGGATATAAATCATGGATATATACTGTGATGTATCATGGATATTTTTCATGGATATATATATATATTTCATGATATATTTTCAGAGGAGTAAACATCAAATGATGAAAGCTGGGACTCCAGCGAATCTTGACAACACAAACATGACAAACACCATGGGGACTGCCCTGATCTACCCACATGGGATATCTCTCAGGCGAGAACATTTCTTGCCAAAGCAATGCCAAAGCAGGGTCCAACAAGAACTTTAGTCATTTCAACGGAACCTCATAATGCGGTTAAAACGCCATAAACCATCCCCCCCCAATCGCCATAAATAGGTGGTATGTTCACCATTCCCATTTTTATGGGTGGTAAACATGACATTGTTTTAACCATCCCATCAACCATGACAACCCCCCGAACCGACGCAGACGGGAATGGTACCCCGAAATATACCCAACAATATATACCTCCATTAGACTAAACTTTACAAGGGCATACAAAAGGTGGTTCCCCATTATTAAGTTGGCTTAGTATATATATATATGTATATATATATTCATACGTACATATTATAATATATATATAGTTAATGGGGGTTATAAACCCATATAATTGGAGGGCACCACCTTGCATGGGATGTGTTTCTTACGCCCCAAGGCCGTCCCCCAAATGCACCAATGTACCAAGTCACATCATCGTCATCCCAAATGCAGATGACCTACCGTTCAGGATCAAACAGATGACTTCCCATGGCAACCAAAATGGGGGCTGAGTGGCTGAGAATGATTTACCCATGACGGATCCTAACGGTGCTGCTATATATGGTGTGCCATGGATCCCATCAATATACCCCCGATGTTAACATATATACCAGCACCATGGATCCTATGGGTTATAGACTATATCAACATGATTTCATCAACCAAATGTCAATTCTGAAAGCAGATTCTATCTCAACATAATTCAACTATAATGTCTTTTGCGGCACTTGGTCGGCACTTCTTCGCCACAGAGGGATTGTCTTCAGTAACATTGGACAACCACGACAATTTGACCGCGAAGTCTTGGATGGTGTTTCTATATATTTATAATATAACTGGTGTTGCCCTTGAAAAGTTGGTTTGGCACTGGCAATAATTACTCCAATCTCCCCGAGATTGTCCAAACAGTGATCCCCCCAGTTATGGCAATCTTTAGTGTCAATCAGGTTGTGTACTTTTGTTTGTCGCCTAACAAATACTGGTTGGTGGTTGAGCCTACCCCTCTGAAAAATATGAAAGTCAGTTGGGATGATGACATTCCCAACTGAATGGAAAAATAAAAAATGTTTGAAACCACCACACTTTGTCACACTTTGCGATGCGCGCAACGTTATGTGAGACGCTGCCCGGCTTTAGGGTGGTCAGAGACCTAAGGTAAAACAAACACAGGGGACAGCCATCCGGTGTCCAAACGGTAGTGAAACGATCAAGCGGGACTGGCGCTTGAAGGTCTGCCCTGCGTTGGCAAGCATCCATTTGTAAACCAGAATCATCCTTTGTGGGTCCCAAGGTAGGGCCAAAACTCCAGTATGCATCTGAAAGATTTGTGAGTCAGGTCTTTCGCACCCCATGGTCAGTGAAACCCCCATGTGCTTCAACGTCACCTTGAGCAACTTGATAAACCATCGGGTGTGCTGGCGAAAGCTGAAGCCCAACAACCCCAAATTGGATACCTCGGCTCCATCGCTCCAAACTTGGCTGATTGCGCATAGCAAAAGATGATCCTTGTTTTGTTTCTGCTGAGGGTAGGTGGCACTCTGAGGTTCTCCATAAACCGTTGCTCCAGTAAGCCATGTGTCATGCTCCAGGGTGGCCGTGACCTGGACGCGAGATAATGCATAAATCCCGCGTGGCCATGGGCTAGGCAATGGTCGTGTGGGGAACTTGGAAGGCAAAGCAACTCCCCGCCAAGCTGGGTGAACTATACGGTTGTTTTGTGCAAGGACAGGGTGCCCTCCAACACAATAGCGGTAAGGGCTCTCAGCAAAATGCAGGCCCGATCGAAATGCTTGCATGCTTTGGGCACAAAATTGTGTCTCGGAAACTGCCCATATGTCCCCATGGGCAAGGTGTGAAACTCTGTGCAGTGCTTTTCCTTTCAACCCTATTGGATTGAAAGTTCCCAGAATATGTGACCGACCTTCATCAGGACCAGGGTTCATGGCTTCCCCGATTCTACACATCAATGTCAACATGAACCAAGAGGTCCAAGCAGCTCGGCCAGGGCAAACATGAAGTTGGCGTGGCGGGCACACCGCCCCAACTCCAATGCAAAGCAAAATCAAAATTGTGGTAAGCAAAAGGCCCAGGGTTCGGAACTGACGCAAGGCAGCAACCCCTATAAGCAAACCGAACATCACAGAACCCAGGCCCCACCGTCATTCCGTGCCTTCTTCTCTAGGGCTCTTCGCACGAAGAGTTCGAATCTGTGTCACCTTGGCACCTTTGACGTGTTGCCAAATGCCAACCAACACTTCTTGGCATCCAAAGTCCCCACAAATCTTGGTGGCTTCACGGATTTTCCCATAGTGAGTAAACATCTTTGGGTTTTGGTCCACTGCCACCATTACATGCATTCCTGCTGCAATGGCCCCATGTGCCAAACCACCGAAGCCTGAGCAAGGGTCGATCAGGTTGGGCATCCCTTCCCACGACAGTGTGAAGTGAGACAGGATTTTGGTTTTCTCATCGGTGAAGGCTTTCGGCATCGGAAGCTGGCAGCTAAGGCTGGATCCCAAAATGGAGTAAGAATCAAGGCCCCCATTCAACAGACCATCCAAATGAAAATCGCAACCATCATTCAACAGGGTCATCAAATGAGTAATGTGGGTGTGGTCAACCTTCAGGGTGCAGACAATGTTGATGTGCTTCCCATTCTCAAAATCGGCAACATCCATGGGAAATCCAGTCATGGCACGAAACAGGTGAAACTTACCAGACTCAAGTTCAGCTAAGACCGGCCGCACTACTGGGAAGCTTGAGTCATCACGGCTGTTTGAAACCACCAACCAGAATAAAAATCACCCCTTCATATGAAATTCACATAATTTTCCCTCAAAGACTTGGGATGTTCAATTGCCATGTGAAATTAGAAGATGGGGCCGTCCGGTAGTAATTAAGTTAGTCTATGATCGCCAATAACTATGGTTGATATCCCCATAAACCATGGTTATTCAATGTTATTCATAGGTATTGGAGTTATGTTCACCAACTTTTCGCTATCGTAGGGGCCCACCTTGTATGTGTCCTGGTTAGGATTGATGTTTCAGATTATATCCCGCTACAAATCGGATATGAAAGCTCCAACTTCGCCAATCCCCGCTGGTGGGAATTTTGGATGTCCACCATCCGTATACTGGTTCAATCCCCGCTGGTTTAATCCTGATATTCTTTGTGGTTTGTTCATCCAATTTTGGAAAGGTCAAATCCATAGTGGGATATGGATCAACCGTTCAAAATCCATAGCAAAATCCATATTTAAACCAGATGTTGAGTGCTTCTATTATCTATGGATAATCTATGGTTTATCTATGGTTTCTATGGTTAATATATGGATAATCTATGGTTAATCCATATCAAATCAAAGGAAAAATTAAAGGTACCAAGAAAAATGCGCCTCGGCTGAGGTACTGCGGGTAGCGAGATTCCTCTTGGCGCCAATGCCTGCTGGGAAATCTCGGCAGTTTACCGACATTTTTTTTCCACTCACACTTGGCGAAGTCTTCAGGGTCTATCGACGCGAAAATTTCTGGGGAATGTACCATCTGGTTATGACTAACAGTTTGCCATGGAAAATCACCATTTTTAATAGGTAAACCATCTATAAATGGGCAATTTTCCATGGCTATGTTAAATAACCAGAGGGTATATAATTACGTGGGTAATGTTGGCATGTGAGTAGTATTGACATATCTGGATCTAGTCGCTAATTACTTATTAGCTAAGTAAAAAAATGCAGGTTGGTATCTGGAGGCACAGTTGGTCCATGGCCCATCCAAGATCACATGATGGGTGTTGTGGAGTCCATTACAATTAACTGCAAATCACAACTTTGTGCGATAGTCCCAATCAATCAACAAGAACTTGAATCTGGAGTTGACATTAGTAAATACATTAGTCTATATTGGTTCCATTCCCAAGCTCCACATGGATTGGGAGGAAGCAAAGGCATAGGGCACCGTGCAGTTCGGACACTACAAGTCATTTGGAACCAAACATACAATCTTACAGTATACCTACGTATAGTTATATAGTATCCACAGTAGCCTCTGGCTCTTGCCGACCATCCAGCGTTCACAAAACAAGATAGATGATCCTGAAATCCCCTGGTATACAACCTGGATGGGACTGATGCTAACTTGAGATATTGCTTTCTCTCAAAACGGGCATTAACCCCAAGATGTGGCACTCCAAAGGAATGGGATTCTTGTTGCTTTTCTGAAGCAGCAAACCTAATCTTCGCAAGTCGCCTTATCTTTGTTGGGAAGGTTTTCAACAAAAAAACACAAACTCACCGTAACTCATCTAAAATCTCTAGGTCCCAAGCTGTTGATTCTTGTAACCCCTCCTTCCTTCCTCCCCTCCCATCCTCGCTGTTGTCGAGCCACTCATGCGCTCCTCCAGGTAGACGTAGCGCAGCGCCAGCGCACGTGGTGACCTCGGCTGAGATCAACGGGATCAACGGCCGGTGGTTTTTTGGCAAGAGAAATTGGTGCTTGAAGTAGCAAACATAGCAAATGTTGCACAAGAAGAATTCGGAGGTTCTTGCCAAGAAGAATGATCGGTGCTTGAAGTAGCAAAAATGGCAAATGAAGCAGGAGGAATGGAGGTTTTTGCCAAGAGTGATCGATAACGAGCATTCTCCAAGAAATGTCGGGAATGTTCGGCACCAAAACTCCAGGACGTGACCAAGAAAACATGGGAATGGAACCACAAAAAACATATTGGTGGCAGGAAATGTCCATTCATCAAACAACATCGAGGTCAATGATCAAGTAGATCAATGGCAAACCCTACGGAAGATCTTACAACGATGTGGTTGGGAAACTCAATTCGTAGTTTTTTTTGTTTACACTGGCTCCACAAAGGGAAGGGAAGATGAATGGCTACCTATGGTTTCTCAGCTCTCAACCACTGGATTGCCCATAAAATCCCATGACTATTTATGGTATAGTACTATCCATTCACTAGTATATATATAATATACCATCTTTCATTTCCTCCTTTAGTTGTGGCTAATATATTGGTAATATATTTTATATAGTTATCTCTCATATTACTATATATTATTATATATTTAATATATTTTAATATCACCAGAAACTGATAAGATCAGAGATAATATCATGGCTGCTTTTTTTCATCAGAAACTGATACCCTGGTAAACATATAAAAAACTATTGACAATGGCCCATAGAAATCGTTGATTTACTCAGCTATAAAATGGTGATTTTCCATAGTCATGTTAGTTTACCAGAGGGTAAATCCCATTATATATACAATATATATATATATCAATTATATCCCTTATAAATCCCTATAAATCCCGATCATTCAGAAACTGATAATATCAAAGATCATATCATGGCTGCTGTTTTTTCGTCAGAAACTCATAAGATCCTCAGAAAACGGACCGCCGGCTTCACTGACCCATTGACCCATCGATCCGCCATCGATCCACGGACCAGTCACTGAACGATCGCCTTGTCCAGCTCTTCGGCCATGCTCTTGGGGCTGTCGTCGATGATGACCACTTCCAGTGAGCCCTCGCCCGCAACGGGCTCCCAGGGAAAGCGGGGAGAAAGATCTTGGCCGTTGAAAAGTCGACTTTGTTTCACGGAAAAATGAGGAATTCCGTGGAAATTCAATTTCACATCCAAACCTAAGTTTCAACCAGAAAAAAATTGGAATTGGATTTTCACAAGCAAACGTCAAACGCTTCCACCAGTCAAAAATAAGGAAGTTCACGTAGGCAAACGCAGGATTTAAGCATTGAAAAGAGGGATTCATTGCCATCAAACTTCAAGGGTCTGGCGCCATCAAAATAGAGACTCGGGCAATGAATCATTCCCATAGGATCCATGGTGCTGCTATATATGCTAACATCAAGGGGGTATATGGATGGGATCCATGGCACACCATATATAGCAGCACCATGGATCCTATGGGTTAGATATGGTGATATATGGTGTTCCCCTGTGCCATCACGGTGATGGGAAACATCTACGAAATTGATGGATTCTCTCTCATCAAGATCTGCGGATGGCCAGATCAAGATCAGTCAGCAGGTGACGTTTCCAATATGGACATAGCAACAAGACATCATTCAATGGGAATTCCTGGATGCTAAAATAGAGGTACTGTAGCATATATGGTATGTACCTCCAATTTAGGTACCTGAAGTGGCCATTGATTCAACTTTGATGTGGACAGCATGACGCAGCTCGCACTTTCCAAGGACTGTCGGACTCGCAGCCTGGTAGTCTTGGTAGCCCACTTGCTCGATCGCCTCATTGAGTGTCTTGACACCATAAGATCATCCATCACCAAGCATCACCAATTATCACCAGAAACTGTTGGTGTTTTTTTTGATTTGATGGGTTTTGAACATGGGAATCTAAGCAACGAATTGATTCCGAACATATGGAAAAATGATGGATATATGACATAAACCAACAATGATAGTGATATAATCGGGAAATGATGGGAATCAACAGTCTGATATTTGGGTTTCGCTGACAATTCAGGGAAAACCAAACCAAAACATCCACACTTATAGCCTTTTACCAGTTATGTTTGTCACTAAGTCAGCCCATTTATAGAATGTATAAGTCACACCATAGAAATACCCATTTGTATATTTATAACTAATAGCCATGGCCATAACTCTAATGCATCTCATGGATCATTTCCTACAATGTGGGGCCCCTAAACGTGATGTGAATGTTGGTTAACAAAAGCCCCAGTAACTAGTTCGTTATAAATAAATACCATAAACCATAGTGAAATTGGAGTTATAAACGCACCAACTGAACGCTATCGAACGGGGGCCTCACATTGTACCTTTGGGGATTATCTTCATATCCTATATTTACCACAATTAATGGTCATGGTTCACGAGATTCCCATTAATAGCTGGTAGAATAGCATTGTAGCCCAATTACTTGGTGGCTCATCCCACGGCTCGTAAGTGGATTATAACCCCAGTTATTTCAGTGGATTAACCCTACAAAAATCCCATGTAAATCACTGGGGTTATAACTCACTTACGATTCGTGGGTAGTTCGCCACTAATTAATAGCCATTAACCATCTCAATATTTGGGTTTAACTCTAATCCATCTCAATTATATATCATTTTGCCTAGCTCTATTATCTATAGCTAATAGCCATGGCCATAACTCGAATCCTAGGCCCAGGTCCAGCAGGTCGCCTCAAGCAGCAGTGGGCCACGGTTGTAGGTCACCATCTGTACCTGGGAGCCACCGGGGGACCTAAGGTCCAGTTCGAAATAGCCTGTGATAAACCAACCATATCTATATGTTATATCCAACAAAAATAGACATACCTATAGTTTTATAGTTGATCTATAGTTATATCCAACAATATCATAGTTATTATAACAACTATAGACTAACTATAGATAGTTTATTGTAGATAGTTTATTGTAGATTTATCCAACAAAAAATCACAGTTATTACAGTCATGGCCATTTAAAAACAATAGGGATTTGACCTTAATGAACAGGGGGTTACCCTCTGGTAAACGTTTACATATGAAAAATCAACATGTTTAATGGGTAAATCAACGAACTAAGTGGCTATTTTCAATATTTTTTGTATGTTTACCAGAGGGTATGCATATTCTTTAGGCCCTTTACCAAGTACCTCAAAACATTTCAGAACGAGAATCCAAACGAATTAAACATCAAGACCAAACGAATATAATGTGGGTAAAACAATGTCATAAACCACCCATTTGGGAATGGTGAACATACCACCTATAAAAATGGTGATTTAGGGGATGGTTTCTTATTGTTTTACCCACATTATTAGCCCTTTAATCTAATAATTCATAGCCTATCTAGTCACTATATTCCCCCCCAAACAAGATCAGCATGGAACAGGACTCTAGAAAAACTAGAAAAATCATCTGCCAACGCTAATTTACCCACATTATTGGGATTGTAAATGGATTGTCTGAAATTTGGGGACTTCGATCATCCACATGAGGCACATAGCCGTTGGCCTAACAGCTGGGCGTTTTTTGATCACCCCGAGAGAACGCCGAACGCGAACGCTTTTCATCACGAAGGTTTGGCTTTATGATATAGCATGATACGGGGGGTTCCATAAATGGAGGTACCCCAGAATGGATGATTTATAATGGAAAATCTTACTATAAATGGATGATTTAGGGTACCTCCATTTTAGGAAACCTCCATATAATATATCTATATAACTACATATACTTAATGAAGTTGATAAACCAAGAAACATAGCTAAGTTGATCAACATAGTTCCTGGATATTGATACAGCCCATTACAACGTCACTAGTTTTCATGGACTAAAAACGTCCAGGCGTCGCTGACAGATGGCCATGGCGACAAGGGAGCCAAGGGAAGAGCCGCGGCCGCAGTCAACAGAAGTCCATGGCAGAACATGGCAGGGATCGAATTCACCAATACTAGACTCATTAATTCACCAATAATTAGACTTTCTATTATGATGAGTCTATTATTGATGTTCAAACCGTACAAGTTTTTGTTCATCAATAATAGACTCATGACCCATCTAATTTCAGAAACATGACGTACGAATTGCTTCCATGTTAACCATCGTAAACTCATCTAAGTGATTCTAGTTGTAGACACATCCCATCATAAATCCTAGTTAGCTCAGGTTAGCTAACTATGGGGTACCACCTTGTAAGCGTCTATTTTTTTGTGGCGAACCTACGGAAAAAACACATCCCTGGCTAAGACCCCCTTGTCCTGGGGGAAGCTCCACAAACTTTCTGGTACTTCTGCAATGTTGGTTCCCAACAAGAGTTCAAGGGCTATTTTTTCGAGATACCAGATATTTCTCTGGTTGGTGGTATACTTACCCCTCTGAAAAATATGAGTTCGTCAGTTGGGATGATGATATTCCCAATATATGGAAAAAAATGTTCCACACCACCAACCAGTTCTGTGCCAAGGTGTATCTGTATACCCACAAGCCACACCGTCTAAAGAGAGGGCTCTCTAGTGATAGAAGCAACCCCTACAGCGATGGAGTGACATCACACCCCCGGAATCTCCTGGAATCACAGTTGTGAAAATGCCAAACATAGAAACACAGGCGTAAGTCTTAAGATTTTTCTTCATCCTTACCTTTGGGTTCCAGCCCGTCTCTGTGCGTTGTGTCATGTGGGCTCTCAAAATTGGCTACCGAATTGGATGCTTGAGCTACACTTTCTATATCAAATATATCAAAATCACTATACTTAGCCATTTGGAGGTCTCCCTCATGACGAAAACACGTGGCTTTGTCTGATAAGGTACTCCAAATTTGATGATCTTCACGCAATGCGTAGTAAAGTGACCATTTCGGAGGGTATACATTGTATACAACACTTTCAGACACGCCCGCATGTAACTCCACAAGTTTTCATGCTGCAACTTAGATGTCATTGAAGCTAGAACTCTAGCTTTGAGCAAGCTGCAAGTTTCGCATGTGAAAGCATGTGTTGGATTTCACCACCCAAATTCAGGCTGAAACACCAACGAAAATTGAATATGTTCCGATGTTCCCATCAAAAATTATTCGCCTACAAACATTGGGAATTGCAATCAGCTGTTTTTGTTTGCATACTCACCATGAATATCATCAACATGGCGTTTAGCACATTGGAATGGCCAATTTTCTGATGCCCTGAAAAACAGGGGTAAATTCTCATGGGGACTCGACTTTGCAGAAAAACCTCGAATTCCATGGTGACTTTCAAACACTTTGCGAACTTGAAAATGGCCATTGAAATAGTTCATCTACCCATCAAAAATAATGGTGATGTTCCGTAACGTTTACCAAAGGTTACTGTCAGTTCTGATCTATCCAAACTGGGCCCTGCTTTCAATTTGGCACACCAATTCACATGACATTCGGCTTCAAACGGACGATTGGCTGACAAAGCTGATGTCCATGGTGAGGCCATGGTAAGTCAATGGCAAGCAATGAAAGGCTGTGTTGCTACATGGCAACCGCCAAGATCCAGTTCTAGTTCTTGCTGGTTCCCTCAAATACCCCTTCAGGATAGAACGTAGCAAATAAACTATCCATCCGGGTAATATTTATTACCCTCTGATTATTTAACATAGCCATGGTATAGATGGTCCATTTATAGATGGTTTACCTATTAAAAATGGTGATTTTCCATGGCTATGTTAAATCGCCAGAGGGTAATATGTCACTAACCTGAATCTTGCGGCCAGCCATGGGGATGATTTCCCTTATTAAGAAACCATGATTTCCAGGGTTCGGGAGAACAGTGACGTCTGAACCATTTACCAAGGTTCCAACCCAACTCACCAAGATCGAAAACTCGATGGCTTGGAAGGGACAACCGGTTCTTACTGTCTAAAGGTATCCCAAAGAAAATATTAAGAGAATAATAGGGCATATTATCTTTGAACCATGGAAAATATTAAGCTATCTATTCGATGTTCAAATCATGTTAGATCCATGAAAATATTCCCCTAATACAGCTGAATACCGAATTAGCCTCCAGTAAACTAACATAGATGTTTAAAACCCACCATGAAAGTAGATCATTTTCCAATCACGGGTTTTCTCCATTGGTGCCCCCATTTTTGGAGCAGTTTACTAAACTTTCAGGGTACCATCTGGTGATTTAACAGTTTGCCATGGAAAGATCCACCCATTTTTAAGTTCGGTAAACCATCTATTTCTATGGGCCATCTATACCATGGCTATGTTAAATAACCAGAGGGTAAATCCTGAATTTGTTTGACGAAAGCCACAAAAATTCCCATCATGGATGGACCTCGATGTCCTTTTCCTGCCAATCCGCAAGACCACCTGAGGCGGCCCAACGCATATGCTCCATGTATGGCATACTCACCAACCAGTTTTACCCTCTGGTAAATTAACAGTTGGACCCTGAAAATCACCCATTTTTAGTGGTTTAACTCATCTTCCAACCCCGATGACTGCCAGGGTCGTCATGTTAATTTACTGGAGGGTAACCGTGTTTAAGTCATGGTTTTGGTTGAAAATGTTGGTTCATATGGAATATAAATGGAGCATCTGGGTAGAATGCACATGGCGAAGAACAGTGCAGGATCATATGACGAAAAGATCGGGTTGCAAAGGATATAAATATATATATATAGAGAGAGATAGAGAGATAGATAGATAGATAGATAGATAGAAAGATAAAAAGATAGATACGAAGATTAGATACATAAAAAGATTAGATACATAAAAAGATTAGATAAATAAAAAGATTAGATAGATAGATAGATAGATAGATAGATAAATAGATAGATAGATAGATAGATAGAGAGAGAGAGAGATAGATAGATAGATAGCTAGCTAGGTAGGTAGGTAGATAGATAGATAGAATAGATAGAATAGATCTGTATTTTACCAGGTCAGCCAACAATATAGTACAATTACTATATGGGGGCGCAACAAACCGGTCAGCACTCAGCTCTTTTGAACCAACGCTACGGAGTAGATCGATGATATATACACTACATGGTTTTACTGCAGGAGTTTTTACACCCCCCTCGGGCGAGCAGGGACGACTGCGGAGAACGAATAACCCAGAAGAGCATACCCTCGCGGGTAGCCAAATTTCTTTAGTTGGTTTTGATCATTTTTATGCAGTCTTTCAAAGGTCCCTTTAAAAAGCTCAAGCCCGTAAAACCCAGCGCAGCTTTGCAAGGAAGGCACATTACCATGCCGCATCTTGCGCTATGCTACAAAAGAAAATCATCGTCTACCTGCGGTTCCAATAGATCCACCGGCCGCCGGCCTCGTCACGGTAATACCAAGCCCCACGCCAGAAACTCCATTCTCGGCGTGCACCATAGTGATCACGATTCCAACTCCAGGAGGCATCCGGGCGACCGGAGCTTGCAGCCTTTGATGTGACTCCTTTGCTTGCTGCTTTTGCAGTGGGCGGTGTCTCAGGCTCCAAGAATGGTCGCGCTCCTGCTTTGGGTGTTGGTGGTTCGGGTGCAAGAAATGGTGCATTGTTGGGGTCAACTGGGGCATCAGCGTGCGAGGCATCTGCGCGAGCAGAGCTTGAGGCGGCAGTGTCATCATGTGTGGTGACGGATGCATCAGCTTCGGCTTTGCGTTTTCGCTCAGTGGTGGGCGCGACCGTGGGGTCGGCCTTATGACCTCCAGGACCTCCAGCCTTTGCAGCGGCGCTCTGCTTCTCTTTGCGTTCAAGGTTTCCCCGAACCAATGGAAGATTTTCCTCATACACCTTTTCGAGGAATTCAAGAGTGCCATCAAAAGGAACTTGGACAGTGCCCTTCCAGGTCAAAAGGCCACGGAATGCGCCACGACGACCGATGTAGCTGACATATTCATCCTCTGTAAAAATGTGGCGGCCGAACATGAATCCCCAGACCTTCTTCCATGTTTTGCGGAACTCAACTGGGAAACCATCAACACCTCGAGGCTGGGACATGAAAATCAACTTAGATAAGCAGTTTTCATTTTGGGCATTGGCGGCGACGCCAGCCGAGATCTGAGCTTTGGTCCTTGGGGGATCGGGGAGGTTGCCATATGCGAACATGTCGTCGAATATGCAGTCCTGCAGGTCCTTCCCCTCACCGTGGATGCGGTCGCAAAAAGTGACGTCGCTGGAGTATCTGTCTTCCACGTCCTCGTAGCCCAGCGCTTTTGCACGTCGATGCCTGTCGCGGCAGTCTTTGAGGACTGCTGATTCCACGGATGTGATTCCCCTGGGGCCCAGTTCCCGGCGAAGCAGATTGGCTTGCTCATCCGTCAAGGCTGTCAGCAAGCTTCCGCTCATTTTCCCAAACATTCCGAACCCGGCGAGACTTTGCATTCGCCGTTCAAGGATGCGTGTCCTCCTGTTGGGTTTGTCGGCCTCTTTTGTATCGCCACTTTCGTCCACTGGGAGTGGTTCATATCCACATGTGGTGCATGTCACTTGGCCACTGACGTACTCAACCTGGCAGAGGGGGCAGGAGCCCATGAAAGGTTCGCAGTACTTGGGTGCAATGTAAACACGGCGCGTCCTTGCGGGCGGCTGGTCAACTTGCATTGGGGCAGTGGCTGCATCATCATCAGTGGACTTGGCATCGGGTCGCCCCGTGCTGGTGTCATCCATTGGGTCGTCATTTGCATCATCTCGGGCAGTCAGGGTGACCGCTTTGGATTTCGGTGCTGAGGCTGATTCCGCGCCTGTCCATGAGCTGGGCTCGAGATTGCTCTCGGCGCGGGTCCAAAGCACCTGTCCTTCTTCTGAGATGCTGACCAGAAACTGCGGTGGAATGCGTTCTGAACACAAAATACCATCCATTTCTGTGCGACTAAAGATGACACCAGCTTCAACTGCTTGCCGCATTGCGATTTTGACTTCGACTGGACATTTTGCTCTTAATCCAGATCGATACCC